CAACATAGCACCACTTACCATTTTCGCATAAAATTTTTCCAATAATCGCTACCACTTAAAAAATTTAACATGTACTGTGCAAAGCTTAAGAGTTTGCACATGTGATAATATATGGACAAAGAGGATGTTCTATCCACTAGCCTAATTCCACCTTTGATACTCTTAAAATCTCTGCTTCCGACATAGTAGTAGGATAAATTACGTCGCTATTCTTTTTGATCCTATATTAAATACTTAACGCTAATTCTGTGTCTACGTCAGTACTTCTATATCTCATTTAGTCTCTACTACGAGTCTTGTTCGCTTTCTTCGTTACGAGGTGGCAGCACTTCGTTCTATTCTATGTGATCGGTCGTCGATCTATAATATATATAATCAATGACACTCCTTCGTCTTTGTTTCCACATGGATAAGCTAGAGGGCAGTTGCATAAGAACCTTGCGTAAAAACCAAAGACTTACGTATCGTAATTAATACTTAAATAATTTATGATAATTCCATCTATAAATCTGGCATTTCCAGCTAACGATAAAACTTCACCTGACCCATCTCTGCGACCATCTCAAAGGAAGTACACCTACTACACCATAGCCAATCAGAATCATCCCTTCCGCGTGTAAACTCCTGTGCTCTTCCACAAATTTCTGAAGAGAATATTCATCAAGCTTTTACGATCTTTAATCAACCCATCCACCCATCCTAGTCGCTATATCACCCGTGTACCGTGCCGTGAAAATAAGTTACACATAACCAACTTACATCCCGGACGTATGCAACGGATGTGTTAAACATGGACGCGAAAGAACGATTTCCCTGGGGATGCAGATTTCAGGAAGGCGTGCGCGCGATTTGCCAACATTTATCCCCAGAACTCAAGAACAAGGCGCGTGCGCACACGGTGGCTTATCATCGAGACACGTATAATTTTCTCGCAGCGCGTACGTGCTCCCGATAAAACCTACGAGGGAATAATCTTTAGCTATACGGGACTTATTTCGCTGTGCACCTTATCGAACTCGCAGGTTGTCCGACTAACGAGCATTAATCGCAGGGAACCGGTACAACGTACGGTTCTCTCGACTTTTACGCCACCCGTCGAACTCGGGGCAAAAAAGATGGGGAAGAAACCTCAAGAAACCACGTTCCGTGCTCGGTCGACACTTGGAAATTTTCTGCTCCGTCTGTTTTAGCGAGAACACGAGTACCAGGGAACGAGGTTACCCCCATTGTGTTGGAGTATCGAGTGCTAAATCGTGGTGCACCGAACTTGTGATCACGTGACGAGTACATTGGAGTGGGGATCCCTACTCCGCCGAGCAGTCCCTACCTCTCACATTGTCGTTTCGGAAGAGTGGGGATCCCTACTCCGCAAGCAGTCTCGACTCCTCGCGTGTTGTTACGGGGAAGTGGGGATCCCCACTCCAAGCCCAATCTACTCGTCACGTGATCAGAACTTGGGTACGTCCTGACTTAGCACTCGACGCCTCAACACTGGATGCTCGTAGCGTTTTTTAAAAGCGTTTTATGATTGATAAAAGCTTCATTTTTGCAACATTGTCCCGGTTTCTTTGGCATGGGAGAATGACGGGTCTTTTTAGACGGTTTGACAGGTGGAATAAATTGGATTTTTGGTATATAACCGCGTGATGAAACGTAGAACGGGAAATCGGGTAGAATCGTTGGGTAGACGCGTGGACGACGATCGTGATTAAATCGTTCATCTTCGAAAGGACATTTCTCTGTTTTGAAGCTCTGTGCAGGCGCTGTCAGCGGGAGGGAGAGAAAAAAGCGAAATTCCAGCTGTTAATTATGTTCACGCGTCGTTTGAGTTTCACACGACGTCGAAGATTGGTATTCTGACTTTTATTCCGTAACGATCTTTTCCTTCACACTTTTGTCCGACGGTAGAGAACGGAAGTTGTATAGCGTAGATCTCTGATGCTTTTACTATCGAATGCTTTTCCCACCTCAAAGGCGCTTTGCACGTGACGCGTTTGGAAACACGATCGAATTAACGTAGTAATACCAATGTTTGAAGAATAAAAAGAGGACATTTAGATAAAATAACAATTTGAGATTTGAAATTATACTCGATGTACTTTTTCTTCTTTTTCTAATACTTTTTTCTGCTAGCTGCAAGAAGTTTAATTTATTTACCTGCGCTATTTTTAGCCTTTTCGCTATGTAAGAATATGCACAATATAGACAATTTTTTAATCCCTACGAATGTTCCGTGCAATCCAAAAATTGTAGAAGCTGTAAATTTGGTTGGAAAACAAAGCTCGAGAAACACTTTAACCATAAAACTAGCGACTTGCAATGTGTACCTAAATATGATATACATTACCCATGTTAATGAACAGTGCACATTTTCAGCAATTGCAAAAATACGAAGTCCAGAACAAATCACTTTGACCCCTTTGGTAGTTCTAATATCAATCAAAACTCCATTGCAGTGAAAGAAATTGTTACTAATATTCGTAGAACTAATCTGAAATTATATAATTCTAAAATTAACGCATGGTTCAATATTTAGAGTCTAATCACTTGCACACAGTACTCGTGTATCGCTATTTTCAATTATATGTGTAATCTCATGATTAATTACGCGAAATATGTGAATATTTATTTTATTCAAGATTCTTTCTTCCGCGTAGCTCAAAAGTGCTTGAAATTTTGAGGTTATCATAGCGAAAGGGTTAAGAGCATGTTACTCGCAAATAACGTGTACCTAAAGCGCATGCTGAAAGTAAAATACCATCATATTTTCAGTAAAAAAGAGTATGCAAAATATATAGGTAAAAAATCATGATACTTTTGCATCAAAACTTAGCAAAACATCATATAGGTACGATTACGGTATCAAACTTCGACTTTCTACCTCACATGGTTTCCAAGGTAGGTGTACTTTTGCAAAGAAAGATACATAACATTCGAGAAACTCGCGTTCAAAATTATCCCCTAGTCTTTCTAACTCGCGAATACGCGAAACGGAGAGAAAATTCGACTTCTGAAAGAACAACCTTCACGTACAAAAGCCCTCGAACAAGTAGAGCCAAGAACCCCAACTCCAGTAGAAAGCTCCTACTCTAACCTTGAAATTAACACCACGTTCCGCGAGCCAGACTAAAAACCCAAAAGTCAAGAGCTCGGTAAATTGCTTTTCTTAACCCTTTGCGGTCCAAATTGCTTTCAACATTCTGTCTCAACTGATATATAACCAAAAACATACTTTTCAATTTTCTTTTTGCATTTTCCTAATTGGCGACGTACCTGAATTACGACACGAAAGAATACATTTTGTATATAATATTTTACACTAAGAGCAAAGTGAATCGAACGAAACGTAACGTCGAGCTGGTCTGAAAAAATCGCAAAGGGTTAACTCAAAACTATAAATTTATCAGCAAATTTACCATAGACACGGTCAACTCATAACTCATCGACAAATAGATACTAGATAGACGCTAACTATTCGGGTCCGCCGATGCTGCCATCTATACACGGACAAAGTTGCCTCGCTTGAGAAAAATGTAGCGCCGCTGAGAAAAGTGCAGCTTTGGAATGGAGACCGAAGTCGTAAACCGTGGCTGAACCCTGAAACAGACGCAGATATACACGCCACGTATCGGGCACCGAGATCAGTAAAAGCACACGCTGCATATCGTTTTCCGATGGCCCCCCTTCGTTCGTTGACCGTGACGACTACTTATGTTTTGTTGCAAACCGCTTTAACCCTTTCACCGTCACCTATACTAACCGCTTTTCTCGCATACGCTCTCTATCTCTGCCGTGGATACTAGCACCGTTTAACAGCCGCAGTCTCTGCCCACTTTGTGTGCCCACGTCGCGCTTGTGCGCGTGCTGCACGCTTGCCATCGGGAGCCAGAGTGGCGTGCTCAATGGCAAATACCAACGGAGTTACGAGATCATTTTGGCCTCCTTTTTAATAGCTGATTCGCAAACGATTGTGTCCAAGAGCGTAACGTCTTGTTTCCATGTCACTAACAACTCGAATAAAAGTTCATTTCAATTAATAATCGTTGACAAGTTCACGCCTATGTGTATTGATCCTGTTGATATTTCTGTCTCGAGGGAGATCGATTTGAAGTAACATTTTTAAGAGATAACAGGAGAATGGTTCATTTTGTTTTCCGAGGATAGTTATATATAGTACACACTGGCGTGGATGTGATGAATAACAGTGGTTTCGGTGATTCGTCTTAATCAGTTACGCATTCGCTAATCTTAATCCCCCGGAAGTCGATGCAAACCCAAGTTTTATCATTTAATCATCGTTAACCTTATCGGTAATCAATTTATCGACGGAGACATAGCGATGTTTACTTTAAAATAACACGTGATATAAAAGCGCGTATAAATACGCTGTAAAGTCATTCCTTTAATGGGAAAACTGGATAAGTTGTAACGTAGAAAAAGAATTTTCCTGGTACACGATAACCAATGAGTATGTTTTGTCGCGGTGTTGAATCCTCCGTCGATAAGATGTTAGCCGTCGAGTGCCACGTGATCTTGCTACACAGATATTGTACAGAAAAGTGTTTCAGCATTAGCCCGCGATACCCAATTGGCGCTGCGTTCGAGCTCTACTGCAGCGTCGCCACAGTCGTAGCTACACTTACCGTAAACAAAGCACTATCGCGCCATCTAGCGTCTGTCGGTATGAACCGAAATAAATACGATCACACATCGCTTGGCACTTGGACGAGATGTTTTCATTTTTCAATGTTCCCTGTCACTCGAACTATCAAATCACCATCACGAAACAAGGTTTGCATCGTCTCCGATAATTGGTATTTTTCAGTCGCATGCAATTCGACTCGGCGTGGTCAACTATTGAAAAAGGGACCAACCGTGCAATCATTACTATACATACAATCAGAATATCATTTCGTTGTCTCTTTTCTTTTTTTTTGTCTACCTCAAACTCGACTTGCCATCTGTGCCCCCGTCATCAAATCAGTGAAATGTTGCTTCAGAGATGGCGAAGCCCGTGCAACCAGCGGTACTGCCCGAAAACGGGCGAGGCGAGCAGCCCGATGAACGGGACAATGAAATCGTCATCGAGCTGGATCGAGAAAATCAGTACGGTCGTACGCAGCCACGAGCTAACGAGCCTCAAGGTAATCATTTGCGCAATATCCAGATGGTCCACCCACATCTCGTGTCACGACACATTTTTTTCCGTTTCTTTTGTTCATTTGTCTCGATCACACACGTTCCATTCCCCACCTTGCTTTCAGGCCACCCAACCAGCCGACGCATATACATACATACACACATATGTACGCTCGCATATATACATATAACCGACACACGACTCTGGATGCCATTTTTTTTCTTTTTTTTTTCAAGCTGGTTCTCTCATTCGTCATTCGTTACAGTGTTGCGGCTCTCCTCGTCTATATGTCTCACGTATACAGTGTGTCCTAACTTTGTGCACCGTACTCACCCTGTTGTTTGTAACTAGTTGCACCGACCACTCGCGTGTACCGCCACCTGGTTTTTATTAAATGTACGACCAAGTAGAGGGGAAAGAAGCAGGGCAGAAAAAGATCTCTCGCTTGGCATTGGCGAACGGGACTCACTCTCTAGCACATGAGATCGTGCTTCTGCCAAGAGTGTTGCATCGGGGACGCTCGTTCGCGTCGCTAGACCCTCCGGCTGGCGATCCAGTTCTGTCCCTCGATTTCTTCCTGCTAACGATGTTCGAGGCGTGGAATAGGACGTAGACGTTAGATAGAAACGCGATTTTCTTCCACCAGACCTAGACACGTAATGCACTTTTTGGAGGCTCGCGGATCGAGCATGAGACCCCTGTCGCGCTTCAAAATTCGTCCAGATCCTGATGAATGTATGATACAGCGCCAGCGTGTTGCTGACTGAATAAATTCGTAGTTGACGGAAACGTTAATGACACGCTAATTGCGTGGCTTTCGACAAACGGATGAGGCAACCGACGAATGCCTGTTTGTTGCTACTTCGATGTAGAACGATGAGAGATTGCGACAGTAGCAACGAAAGGCTTACCCGTCGAGTGCTCCATGGGAAATTTGTAACTGCTGGTATAATGGAGGAAAGATGAGTCTGTGGAAATGAACGGACGAAGTGTTTAGTACGAGGCTTCGTTTCTGAGAATATACAGTTTGAATTTGTTTCGTATGATTTATGAGATTAGAAAATTCGAAATATTTTCTGATTTCTATATGTTTTACTCGTGTAATAGATTATGAGTTATTCGACATGCAAGAGACTGTTTAACGCTAGAACTATCTGAATTTAGGTACATATTGTTTAACATGTAAATTAACAAATAATATTAATTATGTTATAACGATAAATAGTTACATATATATAGTTATTGATTATATGTAAACAGTCATTTTGACTAAATCGCTAGTTCTAGTGTTTATGTTAACCCTTTGCGTCCTAAAAAGTGTTCGACTCGGTCCAGAAGCTTTTGCTACGCTTTTGAAGCTTAATAGAATAAAAAATTTCTGTGTCGAGAAAAGAAAGGAAAATTTCTGTGAACTTAAGTATACAACCAGCATTTTTCCTTTTTGTATATTTGTCAATGGAAATAAAGTGAATTTGGATCACCAAATTATCGATATCTCCGTAATGACACCAAAAGAGTGCAAAGAGTTAACCGCGATAAAAGGATATATCAATGACACTTGACTTCGATTAGAAAATGAAAAATAACGATATCGCGATAAATGTGACTAGGTAAAATATTAAAAAAAATTTGTACTCGTGTAAAATAGAACAACTTACACCGGATAAAGAATATTTCAGATTTCTTCGGAACACCTCACATAGCATACCCAAGGTTTAAATTACAATTCAAACAAAACTGACCAAACCCGTATATATACTCTAAAACGAAGCCACGTATGAAAGATTCGCATTTCGAACATTTTTCCTCGTAAACTATGTTCCTCGATTTTCTCGTATCTAACGTAGAATCGGCACCATCAGTTACAAAAACACCATGTGCGACCTACACACGTTCCTCGCCCAATAAATCTGTTTCCTTCCTCGTCCCATCCTCTACAATCTCTTCGCCCAAGAAAAAGTCCCGTCGTCCGATCAAGAAGCCAATAAATCGTCTTACCCGGTTACCACGGATCCTAATTCAACTTTCATTGCAGACGTGATCGCGACACCGGTGGTGTACTCCGCCCAGACTCTGACCGGTGCCCTGATAGGGACCTGCTTCTTCTCTCTGGTAGCCGGCTTCGCTTCCGGTTTCTGGTTCTCCCAGAGGCTACGCGGTGCCCCGTACCCGGAACCGTCAGAGCAACGACAGCAGCTGAACCGACTGACGGAAAGCTCCGAGTCGCCTGGCTTCAACAACAAATCCATCAACCTGGTGCTAAATGTGCCGCCTAAGAACCCTAATGGCAAGAACGCCAACTCGTCGGCGGAGAACAAGCCGGTGCAGAAGGTGAAGAAGACGTATATATGATATAGAAGACGAAACAGGGCCGTCTGAGGCTTGCCGCAGGACCCCTCGGGTTCCGGCTCTTCTTCTTCCTCCTCTTCCTCCGACCTCGCGGAATCAGACGATCGCAACGACGACGACGACGACGACGATCCCGATAACGTCGACGAGGAGAACCGGCTGACGCGTGTCAACGCTGGCCACATGCTAGACCAGCTGGCCAGGCATGACGAGAACGCCTACGAAATTGTAGCCAGTGAAAGGAGGCCGCTCGAGTTCCTCCTTACCCCTAGAGAGGCGCCACATGATTCGCGATCGATGTCGAAGGTGAACGATTACGGCAGAAGATACGACCAACACTTTCCCACCCGGGAGTACATCGAAACGGCGTTGACCGAACCGGTGAACGAGCTTCAGAATTACAGCAGCAGCAGCGCCAACAGCCTCGACGATCTCTGTCACGGGCACCAGCGATTGCCCAGCGATTACAATCGTGGCGACGACTCGAGCACCCGCGATCATTACATGGTGCCCACCCGTGACCCACGGGAGCTAAACGAGAGAATACTGTCGCTGTTCAATCCACAGTTCCTGCCGAACTTCAACGACATGATCATGTATGTGGCGAACCAGTACGACACCAGACGAAGCCCGCCGCCTAGGTCGCGATCGATGGCCGATGGGGAGGATCGATTGTTCAGGAGTTCGAGCTACCGAAAGAAACGCGTTGGCGCCAGCTCCATGTTCTTCAGGCGCGGACTGACGTATGAGGCGGCGCGCAAGTGACACCGGCTGTCTCTTTTCGGATTCAAGCAAAGGATAAAGCGTTGGGTCGATAGAGTAACGCGCGATAAGACGTAAGATGACGAGAGAACTCTTGTCTCGTGGTTGAAGATGTAAGGAGATCAAATGGGAAGAGAAACTTGTATCGAGAGATCGACCGGGCTTGGAGGATCCGGATTGTAGGATCTCTCGAAACGGTTTAGTTCGCTAAGATCACCATGCGTTTCCTATTTTGTTTACCCTTTGATATTGCGAGAGAATCTTCACGAGAATCGCGTTCTTGTGGAACAAGTCATCGCGATCAAGACCACGATGTATAATATATATACCTAGTGTCGGCGTTACCTGAGATATCTCGAGAACGTGGCGTACTCGAGAGGCACGGATTTCTTTTTCGTCGTCGTTCATGATCGTGTACAGGACGACCGGGACGTTGCAAGGCCACGTGCTTCCGGTGTCACGTGTCGTATCGTCTGATATGCATCGCGAGAACAGAGACACGCGGACTTTGGAACTATTTTTTTAAGGTATATCACTTCAGGCTCTCTCCGATGTCTTTAGCGCGACATAGCGTATCGGACACTCCAACACACCTTGAGCTAATCTTGTACAGAATTCGATCGATTTTCGAGTTCTTCCTTTCCGTTTCTCACCAGTACGGCAATGGAGGGATATGGGAAATGAAAGGGACACACGAAGAAGTTCAACCAAGCAACAACGACGATGGGACAATGGATCGACTCGTAGCTGTGTAATGTGATACGATCATGAGGAGAGACTGTGTTCGTAGCAGTGGCCTGCTTAGGTGCTTAGAACCGCGGTGATTTAAGGACGAAGTCGAAGAAGCGTCTCTTGTCCACTCGGGCCCTCGTTCCTCAAACTATACTATGGCGAACTTTGACCCTTGACTGAGGAATGGGAACTAGAGAGAGAGAGAGAGAGATAACGATAGATAGAAACTCATCGAGATTCGTTTTAATGCGAGGAAGAATTCGTTTGCCGAGCAATGTCTGTCAAATTCTTTGCTTTATCCGTGATCCTCGCAACGAGGTTGCAAACAGTTCCAAGAGATCAAATGTTAGAGATGGCGGTCTTCTAAGGTAGCCCAAGAGACGGGAAAAGTTTGAGGAACATGGCGCCCCCATGGAGGGACGTTTCAAGCATTCGCGCGAGACGAGGCGTGCCTTCCGTATATTAATTGTTGGCAAATTTCTGATCTATAAAACAGGAACGGGAGAATGCGGCCGGTATAGATTCGGGCAAGTGCCTCATTTATGCGTTTCGTTTAAAAAAAAAGAATATTCGATAGAGGAAGGGGACGATGCTAGGTGGTGAACATGAAAAGAAAGAAAGAGAGAGAGCGAGCGAGAGCGAAAGAGAGAGAGAGAGAGAGATTAGAGACTTATGTAAGACTTATTCGAAGTATTGTTGTGCACTTATTGCCGTGCTGTGAGTATTGGTTATTAGCGAGAGAGAATTGTGGTGTTGAAACACGTGTACGGTTATTAAGATGAAAATAAGGAAGAAACATTTGCCGTGTTACGGTGTCTTCGAGGAGTTATGTATTTTTGGCTGGGACGTGTTAAATCGATTTATAACTGTTTAACGGTGTTCCGGGCGAGGTGTGGAGGTGTATCTTTTTTCTTTTTATTTTTTTAAGATAAACGAGATGTAATGCTGCGTCGCGAATGAGTCGCTCGAATGCGGTTATCGACGATTTTATTAAAATACGCAGGATACCGCTGCGAGAGACTGAGATCAGATTAAGTTTTATAAAAATACGGAACCGTGAGGTAGAACTTCCGATATCCGAACTGATCGCGATTTTTATACGTTTTAAAAAAGAGTAACAAGAATATTTATAATGTAGATAGAAAAGACAATACAAAAACACGTGGGTTTGTTTTTTTAATAACTAGATCGTAGCAGCGAAGTTTTGAAATTTTTATTCGATCTCTTACCAAATGTGAAACATCGGCATTCTTCTCCTCTTTAAGTTTTATCGCTTTCCCCTAGTGCAAGCATTAATGTAACCGACAAAGATATCGAGCCAGTGAAAACTGTCTTAACGTGGGATCATTTCTTCAATTTATTTTAATTGTACACATACACACTATTATTATACTATTCTGCGCTATACCGTAACCAAATGAAATTTAATGCAAAACGCAAAACCTACTCGTAGAAGAAAAGGAACGTTCGAGTGGCAAAGTATTTAGGTAGCGAAATATGAAAATAATAAAAGTTCGGATAACAAAGTTTCTACCGTATGATAAACAAAAGTGTAATACCAAACGAACTTTATCGTTCCTCCTAGGGATTCAATCTCGCGAGAAAAAAGCTTGTAAAACTTGCAAACTGGAGGAACAGATTCAGCGTTCCGCGAAGATCAATCCTCGAATCAAATCAGCCGAAGGAGACGCGACAAAGGTTCAGATAAACGCATTCGCGCGATTCGCTTCAGCTGGTATTCCTTAGAGCCGGTACTGCATGTTATCCGACACCTTAGCGAAAACTTGGTAGCGTGTACGACAGTTCTCTGCGACAAAGTATCCTCGAAGAAAGGTCGGTCGAGAGGAAGCTCGAAAGAAAGGGGAGTCTTGGCGTGTTTGGCAAGATGCCTTTGACAATGGCGTAAATCGGTCTTACTAGCGTACAATAGCGAACACTGGGCTGTATTTCCTTTACAGCTTAACCGCGGATAGAGTGCCTGCAAGAAGCGGCGGCTAACGTTTGTCCCAGATATCGGGCAAGATGGAAAGAGAACAAAAGAAGGGAATGTAGATCGAAGAAAGTGTGACCGTGATACCATGAAAATAGAGCAATTCGATTCTCTGGTTGTTGCCGAATTAGCATGTAAATATAGCCGGAAGACGCAGGTATGGCGGCTATGTATTGACTTTAATCGTGTGTCCAATGACGAAGATGGATATTTGAAATATTTGCAAAATTGCCGGATTTTAAACCGATTAGATGGTTAGATATTTATCGTCTTTCATTTGATACAGGTTAAGGGATACCCATACGCTCTTTTCATCGTCGAATCCAACATCGATGGGCAAACGTCTGGCCGCTACTCGTGAACCAACACTGCCGCGCCAATTCTAACATATTCATCGAACAAAGAACAGCGAGACGAGTTCTAGACAAATACATCGATTTCCCCTGATTGTCATTGAGCGTTCCAAGGGAATGATAATAAAGCGGAAGACAGGAAATAAATGGTAGAGCTAGGATAAAGAGGAAAAGCTTGACACAAATACACGTACACACACAGATTATAATACACGTATGCATACGTTTTGAAATGGCCGTTAATACGGTCTGAATAAGGATGATGGAACAGTGTCGAGAGTGATCTGAAGTTGCGTGCTGGAAGAAAGAAGAAAGTCGTGTACATAATAAGTAGAAATTGTTTTTTATCGTTGAAATCATTTAAACAAGATCGAGAATCCATTCGTTACGCTACTCGTCACGCGGACAGCAGTGATGCGCATTATTAGTGTTTACGTATACATGTATACACGCGTGTGTCTCGGGCACCTTTTTATACGTGTGTATGTAAATATTGCATTTTCATTATTGCATATTCATATACATATATATATATATTTTTTTTTAATCCGCATAGATAAAATATACTATACGAAGGAGAAGAGAACGCGCTAAACAAGAGAGGCAGCTAATTACACACTTTTTTCGACGGTCTTTGTGAAAGTCCGCAATCTTTTTTAATTAAAATTCCGCCGGGCACCCGCGGTAGTCTCGTTAACGTTCGACTTCGCGAGAAACAACTAACAACCGGGTACTCGGCAAAAAAAAAAATATTTTACAAATACGATGTTTATATTATACGAAAAAAAAAAAAAAAAAAAAAAAATACTTATATTGGCAGATTGTTATATGCTATAATATTTCTAAATTAGACGAATCAAGGAGGCGTATAAATATATATATATAAATATTATGGATGTACATGTATACAAAGCGTTTTATTAGGATTTACGTAATTAATTATTGTAAGGACGATTGTACATATTACTCCGTTTAAAACTGACTTCGTCGCGCTAACACTTGGAACGAAATTTGCCTCGTAGCAGGGGCAATGATTTTCGTTCGGATCATGATTTCTTTCACCTTTTCTTTTTTTTTTGTATTTTTTTTTTTTCCCCTCCTTTTTTTTTGTCGTTTCATTTAACTAGTAAGACAGAAACGCTTGCACGCTAGACCTATCACGGAGCATGTACATTTCATCGTTCATACATTACATTCGAGTTCAATTTTGTATCAAGAGATTGTAAAGATAAGGTTTTTCTTCGCACTAGAGAAATAAGAGATGAGACTTTAATCGCGAGAACGCGACGAAAGTCACGCGTGACGCGAGAATGGTATTTGTATGTCTCAATATGTTCGATTAGTTAGGATTGAATCACGTTTAGAACAGATAGATTTAATTTGATAAGAAATGAAGTCTTCGATGCGGGAATCGATTCGATCAACCTTGTATACAATTTCAGTCGTTAGATCAAGATCGTCCAAGATCAAGATAACATGTCAATTTTTCATCGTGAATTAGCGAGATAGAGCGTATCTCGAATCGGTTTCAATCGTCTTCTGATTCGACCTAGGTCGAGTGCAAAGAATTTTTCAATTCAACTCGAACGATTTGTGAATAATGTGCACACGAGAGAAAACTTCGTACTAGAACTACTAGATCAGCCAAAATACTTAGTGTTCAGATATAGTGTCAGATATTTTATTTTTGCAATTAACGAAGACACGTAGTAGCTTTTGATAAAATCGATATCGATGACTTTCATTCGGATAGAAACATAATTATATATGCCTATTTACCTTCATTACGCTACTTCGATTATTATCATTTGTGTATAGTATATTCAACTAAATATTACAAGTCAATATTCTAGTGTTAAATACGAAATGATTTTAATCTACTATACGGTAAATACTTCTAGTTAGTACTATCAAAATTTGTACTTATACTAAAATATAAAATATAATCATCAATTCCACAAGGATGAAGCTTTCCTCCGATTCGAT